TTCACGAATCCGCATAGTTTCAAAAATTGTCATGGTGCAGGGAGTAGGTAAGTTTTATACTATGAATGCTTTTGCTGTACATGACGAGTAAATCTATGCCCTTTTCCAACCTCCTACTTTTAAATGAAATTTTCATCGTCAGTGGCAAGTGCATATTCGCAAGAAGCGCTCGAGTCCTTTTGTCCATTTGTATTTCTTGTGCGAGGACGCCCGAATGGTAGAGGGTGTTTCCTCAGAATGGGATGTGCAAAAAGAGAAGTCAATTAATACATGATTACCACAGATACTACTTGTCCCCTCCCCGTTGGTTCTTACTCCACTAGATTAAGGAACAAACTATTCATAAAAAACCGCTTTTTTCTTCTCTTGAAGCTTTCGTCTGTTGACTTAATCAAATGAAAGCAGAAACTTTCTTTATTAATTTGCGGAATAAACGAACATAGACAAACACGGACAATAGACCCAAATACATAAACACAAATACAGGCAGACGCTCTGCTTCCTATATGAGGCTCCCTCTGCAGTCTCAACAAAATCAGAAAAATTTTAGAATAGCATGAGCAAACATCGGCAAGTGCTTAGGGTCTTTACAATTTGACGCAAAAAATCTCCGTTAAAAAGCTTGTTTGCGACTTTTCAGAGACTGCTAAATTGTGACCGGCATGAAGTTATTAGTCCCACATCTCAATGGAATTTCGTATGAAAATTTATCCAACAAAATTCTTTGTTATGAAGAACTGAAGAATATGGAAAGTGTTTATAATGTATCACTGTTGCTATAAATAACCATCCCTGCTTATAAAAGTTTAATAACCACCCTTGCTTATACAAATACACGCAATATTCAGCAAAGGACCGGATTCGCATGTAACCCACTGAGAAATTTGCACCATGCTTGGATTCGCCAACCCAGCGCGCAGTGGGTTCCGGAACCCACGGAAACTGGGTAACTTATTCTGTGAATACCGGTATGCTTAACTTTTGGGTTCGCGAACCCACTGGGTTCGTTCGTGAATACCGGTTAAGTGGCGGAACCCACTGTGTAGGTGTAACCCACTGGGTTCCGGAACCCACTAGTTTCGTGAACCGATTTTGGGTTGAGCCTACCCAATGGGTTCTGGAACCCACTGGGTTCGCTGATGAATACGACCACTGCATGCCTGCGCAAAAATTTTCGCAAATGCCCAGATTGAACGTTGGCAATTGACCTTTACGCAGTCAATTCTCTTTGGCGCCTTTGTAAAGTAATCAACCTTTTGACCACTTTTTTGGGCGGAAGTCATGGCTTGCACATAAGTCTGTCGAACACAACCATGACTTTGCAAAAAGGGGTGATACGGACCCAATTTTGGCGGCCGTAAGCCAAGTAGAAGAGCCTGACCCGCAATCTCAATTTGCTAGTAATTTTCACCTTCACGTCGAAGAATTTTTTGACGTTGTAAGGTTAATATAGTAAGTTTCAACTCAGTTTAGGCGGGAACAGATCTGCGTCTTTTCATTCTAATCTACCTCGCTGAGCCAGTGGGAGTGCGTATGCGCTGCTCTTGAAATGTTTCGCCTACACCGGATTAAGACTGTAAGGAACTTGGAAAGCTGCAATATAGGATGATGTCCATGAGGACTCTCAAACTTGCCCATGGGATTTTCCTACTCTGTATACAGTGCTGGCCATAGCTATAAAGCCACCCTAAAAATCACTGTAATTTGCTCTCTCTTGCTCATAATTGTCTGAAAAACCACTATTTTGTGCGCAAGCTAACGTCACACCACTGACCAGAACGGCTCCCAATTGTATTGATTTTGGCTGGAGAAAAATTAGAAAGTTTGAAAAAACAGGTTTCAAAGGCTGGTCACAGCTATAAAGCTACCCTCTCATTTTCAATCAGTACTACGTTCTGTGAACCTCAAATTTTTTGTACATATACAACATCAAAATATGAAACATTTGTTACACTTGGAAGGAGTCGCCTTTCAAAAAAAAGATTCGTACTGCATTTTCTGCTCTAAAATGCATAATAAGTCACATTATTTGCAAAAAAAACTGCTTTTTCATTGAATTTTGAAGCACTTGTTTGAGTCGGATGAAGGTCCTAGGATTTGTTTGGCCTTTGCAATGAACGATGTGAAAAGTGCTGAACTGAAAATTGCGTAGTCGCCAATCTTGATAAACGAGCCCTCATCTTGCCGAGGTGTAAGTACGCTTCTGAGGCGCAAAACTCGATTTCTGACGCACGAGAACATTTGGTTGGAAGTTGACACCTTGTCTGCATGGCGACGTACTCATGCAGAAGCTGTCAGGTTTTTTTGCAAAGACGTGTTTTCCGCACTAAAGTTAGAACGCTTTGTCTGCAGTTCGGTTGTGCGCAGTGTATCTCACAAGACTTCAGATTTCACTGCTTTGAACTCCTCATCGAGTCAAGTATTACTAAACTGTCAGGAATAGTAGGATTTTGAAGTTTTGAGCGGTTTTCCGCTCGATCGAGGTGGTTAGAGTGAGTCATGATTAGACGGAGTGCACCACCCATTTTAGGAAAGAAGGCGTCCAAAGCGGAACCAGAATCCTCAGAGTTGCGACGACGTACAAGCTATGCGCACGAGTCTATCGTTGTACAAGCGACGTGCTGAGCACGCGACAGAGCTTTTCGGGCAATAGAACTCAATTTCTGCGGTTCAAAAACTCGTCTACCTGGAGGTGAGGTTGGGGTTCGTTTATCAATATCAGGGACTAAGCAATGTTGACTCAAGCGCTTTTCGCTGTATTTATTGCAAAGGCTCGGCAAAACATAGGGCTTTTATCCGAGTCAAACAAGTGCTTCAAAATTCAGTGAAAAAGCAGTTTTTTGCAAATGATGTGACTTATTATGCATTTTAGAGCAAAAAAGGCAGTACGAATCTTCTTTTTGAAAGGCGACTCCTTCCAAGTGTAACAAATGTTTTATATTTTGATGTTGTATATGTACAAAAAATTTGAGGTTCACAAAACGTAGTACTGATTGAAAATGAGAGGGTGGCCTTATAGCTGTGACCAGCCTTTGGAACCCGTTTTTCAAATTTTTCAGTTTTTCTTCCTCCAAAATCCATAAAATTGGGAGCCGTTCTGGTCAATGGTATGATGTTAGTCTGCGCACAAAATAGTGGTTTTTCAGACAATTATGAGCAAGAGAGAGCAAATTACGGTGATTTTTAGGGTGGCTTTATAGCTATGGCCAGCACTGTAGTAAGCATTGAGTTGCGCTCTTACAAATGCCCGTCGTAGAGCATAATTGAAGATCTCAGATCAAAGCAAACTCAACTGAAGCACTCATAATTTCATGCAGATCAAAGTACTTATGCCAGTTAGCTTTCAAGATGTTTCTGTAGACTTATGGTAAATAAATCGTTCATGGACTTTGATAATCTTCAAAATTCATCAGCAATTCTCTCGGTTTCAAAGAAAGAGCCTACAGGTAATTTTTTGTTGAGGATGATATATGGGCACATCAAAATACGCTCATTGGGGCTCTTTATGTACAATATGCGCTGCGCTACTATACCATCCCGAATACACGTCCACACAGTATTGTGATCACTATATACAGCTAAATCACTTGAGTGCTATGCCTAGGGTAAAGCAAGAGGTGTGGCACACGATTGCTGGTTACACCCCTCCCCCCTGAACTATGTACACTATATACCTGAGACAATTACCCGAAGGCCCTGTTTGACATAACGAGCAACTTATCCATAATTAGCATGTCAATTGACCCCTGTAGACAAAGTTTGAGCGATTTCTGAAGATTTAAGATACTAGCCCACCTAAGTGAAATGGTCATTTTCCAACATGATTAACTTCATTTCAAAGGTGAATAAGCTACCCGTTTTTGCACTCAAGATGAAGCACAACTTCTTCCTTGCACATTCAGAAATTTCTCTTCAAAAGACTTCCAAAACTGTGGAATTAGAAGCCAACCAAAATCTCGTTTTTCCCATTTTTCGCTTTTGATGGCTGTGCTTTCACCAAATAATACACAGAGCTAAGTGGACGAATCAGGCTCAAATCACTTTTATGTAATCTACGAGATTTAGGCTATCGATTCAGAATGATTACGGTGGAAACCAGTATCCTCCTTTTTTGTTTCATCATTCATTGTTTCTATGCAAAAAAACCGCATTCAGCTCAGCATTCTAGAAAAAGCAGAATTACAACGCCTTCTTGAAAATGCGAAGACTACAGAAATTCCACATTCGGACGAGTTACCGTATAGCCGAGTAAGTAGGAAAAATCATATTATCAAAAATAGAAGTCTAGGACATGGTTTATCGATCTTCACAAGTTTCTGAGTTTATTGCAGCAATATAAAAAGCTTAACTTTCAAGAAATTTTTGTGTCATAAATGACCCCTTTTGGCGAACTTATCCTTTGATTCTTGTACTCGACCACATCTTTTCCGGGAATTTTCGGCGTTATGGTTGAAAAAAATCGAGTTTCAGCAGAATGAATAATTGTTGAAAGATTTGGGTGAATATAAATTTGCTTTATCGAAGGAATAAGCAAACACGAGGTCCGCTTCTCCCTCCCCCCCCCCCCCCACCCCCTTTCTCTCCTCATTTCTTCATGAGAAGGAGATTCATTTGACTACAAACTTCATTTGATTGACTCTGATAGCCGATCCAGTAATATGGCTAGTTAATTCATTTTATATCTTTCTTCTAAGGTCATTGTTTGAGTTATTGCCCTATTTTTTCTTATTATTAATTTTATTATTTTTTTCATTATTTCAGCTTTGCACTTCCGGTCTACGGACCGTGCGTTGATAGTGACGACTGTCCAAGTCTGCATCTATGCGAAGCGGAACAATTTTGCTGCATAATTTTATCTTGTTTATTGCATGATTTTATCTACTTTCAAAAAATGCAGAAGTGATAAAGCATATATCACTGGGAATAATTGATCAACAAGGCAAATGATAGTGAGCATCAATCACAGTGTAGCTCAGGCTGTAACAATAATGCAACAAAATGTGAGGGAGAACAATAATTGGCACGCGGATGGCAAAACATAAAGAACAATCATGCAGTTTCTACCGTATAGGCTAAAAACTGGAACTGACTACTTTACCCAAGGTAAATTTCTAGGAAATATTCAAAATTATCCTTACAAATTGCTAAGCATCTGAAACAAGTAGATGTGTGTCTTGCCTTTGGCAACCACCTGAACACAAACAAGAATATAAAAAACTGGTCAAATTTTGGTTGGATGGTAAGAACTCTTTGCGTACGAGTTCTCACTCCTCTCATCTTCACCTCGTAGTAAGCTATACTTTTTGTACTTGGAGTAGTAGCAGATAGCTGTCATACCTGGAAAAAAATAATATTGGATATGGATCTTTGCTGATGCGTTCACAAGAAACATGGATGGATCTTGATTTTCAGTCTAAATCGGTTGACAAGAGACAAAAGCTGTATTTCAAGGCAGAAGCAGAAAGCAGTATAGACAACAGAGTCTCCCTGCCCATCAAATGTTTCTGAAGTTTTTGTGCGAATGTGAATTAGTAAATTGAATAGTGAGGTCACTTTTGAGAGAAAATTTGCAAATATTTCCGCAATCTTTTACAAGGAATTTGATCTACCGGGCACAGTTTGAACAATATTCGCCATCATCATAGCTTGTTTCTAATCAGCTACCTAGCTGCCCTTTTTGAGAAGAAGCTGTAATCAAATGGCTTTTTGGCGGCTGCTTGCATTGGTACCTAATTATAGCTTTTTTCAGTAACGATGTCCTTATGAGGTGAAGTTTTAGCACTACTCTATTGAAAGTCATGAGAGCTTGCAGGCACCAAATTCCACGCTAATTCTCGTGTGAAGTCAAAAAGAAAACTTCTTGAGAGTTTGCTTTTCGCAAGACGAAAAATTATATTCTTATTTCGATTCTCACCTATCAACAATATGGAGAGAGCTACAGCCACTATGAGTATTGCAATCTCCACTGTCCGTAACAACTCGGATATTTGCTGTAGTGTGGCATTTAGATTTTCCAAAGTCTAAAAATCTGTTTTTTTCCTCGAACTGCATGTTCAAAACGTACCACATCAAGAGACATTCCTCAGCGAGTGTCGTCTGAGCAGCCTATGGTCTCCTGAAAGGTGTGAACTTAAGCGTAACCATGGTTTGCATAAATTTATATGCGCACAAGGAGCTGCGAGCTAAAGAGTTCTAGAGAAACAAGAAGAAGCAATGTCCCCGAAATTTGGTCAGGTTTTTGGTGAAGGTTGACTTATGAATGGAACAATCTATAAGGACCCTTATACGCTAAAAAAAACAGATAATATCACTTTTCCAAAAAAACAGGGAAAAGATTTGGAAAGGAGCTGTTTACCTCGCATCATATTTTCAGTGATTTTGTAAAAAAAAGCAGACTCTTTAACAGAAAGTAAGACATGTGAAAGTGCCATGGCTGAAGAAAATGCTTAAAATAGGTGGTGGTAAATAGATCAGAAATGGGAAATGAGATTTGAGGCCAAGCTTGTATCTATTTTGGAGCGACTACAACCAAATAAAAACACTGGAGTTTGTTTGATTAGAGTGTAACCTAAGGGTTTGGTGGAGACTATTGAATAGTTCTACTCTTCTGACAGCTGAAAAGCCTATAAACGGAGATGTGCTGTAGGTATTTGTTAGGATCAAGAAGAAGATCAAGGCAAATCAACTCGTGAGCCCTACTTCAGAGATGTTTGGATAACGATATTTCAAGAAATGGGAGTTTTGCTTCCCTCACAAAGCTTTGAGAAGTGAGTTATTGGAAAGCGAACAAATATGGAAGAAGAATTGGGAGCGACTTTTTAGGAAAAAGTAAGCTGGACGAAGTCTATCCAATTTTTGTAGAAAAATCTGAGCTCTTCCAATAATTGCGAACTACAGGGTTGAGGGAAAGTCTTTGAACACGGTGTTTTTATCGTAATGACGAAGCTAGGCAAGATGATTACATGAAATCAATAGATAATCTTTACTCAACTGTCTGCTATATAACATTGACTTTACAATTCGAACATTTGTAGAATGTAGAATTGTTATTGTAATTAATAATTATTTGTAGAATGTCCATATCCCATTTCTGTCTATAAGTTGAGTGCTTATGATGATCGTTTTCGGGTATGCTCTGCTGTGTAAGTAGTAATCAGGTCATAGTTTAGTTCAAAAAATGGAAAAAACAATTTTTGGTCCAAGAAGCGACAGCAAGTGTTTGAGCAGCGCGATATTCATGTAATTTTCGGAGTAAGCTGCATTTCATTAGTCCGATCGACGATCGATCACAATAAAACAGGCGGAATATTCAGGAAGCTATAGCTACTAGGAACAAAAGATGTTCTAAACGGTACAAAGCTTCTTCTAAGATACCACTACAAATAAATTAGGAAGGACTGGAAGAAATAAAGGGAGAAAAGCGAAAAGGTAGAAGGGTGTGGCGAAGCAAAAAGGCAATATTGAAACAAAGATATTTGTTCCAAAACAAACAATTGAAAATTTTTGCAATATCACCTCCATTATTTTCTCAGATGACTAAATATGCAAATGTTTCGCAAAAAAAATCTGTTGCGTTTCTTGAAAAAAGTGAACGAAAAAAACTTTCTCTTGACGATGCGAAACACCAAATCTTCTAGACAATCGATGAAGCAAACGATAAGCATCGCTTTTCACAGCGTTCATGACCTAATAAATGGCAACTATTCTGTAAATGTTGGTGATTTACATAGAATGAATAGTTTTGATTGACGAAATGCTAACATTTTCAAAAAAAACACTTCTTCATTGAGAACCTTAATGACAAACAATCCTGAAAAGCATGCAGTAAATTTTGAGCAATTACTAGAAAGAAGATCGTTGAAAGAAAAGATTCATTAAAGATTAAGGAATTCGTTAGAATGAAAGACTCATTGAAAATTTAGATTTAATGCTGATGTAAGCACAGAATTTTCAATTCACAATGAGCACAGAAGAACCCGGAAAAGAAAAAAAAGAACTTCTGCTCAAAAAACAAAGGTTGCAAATACGCTAATTCCAAAAAGATGTAGAAGACTTCACAAAATGTTTTATGATATTGAAAATTTTTATGACATAATTCTGAGAGGATCAGTCTGCATAAGGTAAAGTCGAATAATATTATTGCAGAAATTTAATTAGAAAGAGGGAAATATATAGCAAAGCCTTTTGATTAAAATTTGTTTTGTCTTATGCTTCTACTCATTTAAAACTCTTCCTGGAAAAAGAGTAAAACAAGGATCAGGTTTTAGTGCACCAACTATAGAAAACAGGATTAGCATTCAAAAACTTTGAAATACGAAGGGTCGAATTCTCTCTTTGCGTTTTTTCATAAAGTGTTGAATTTTTTCACATTGAAGCGCAGCAGAAAAAATATGACTGAATGAAAAAAGATTTCGGAGCTATTACGAAAAAGGAGTTTTGCAAGAAAAGATAATTTTGATTATATGCAGGTATTTTAGAAAGGATATTCTAGATGTTTTAGAAGAATATCTAAAAAAAAGGCTAAAATTCCCGGACAGAGTAACTTTTCATATTGTATCCCCAAAAACTATCGCAGTGATTGAAATCTAAAGAGTAGTACGTTTCCAAACAATGTGAGTAGAAAATGACGCTGTCAGATAAGGATACAATCAGTGCAAAGCGATAAATAGACAGCGCTTGCAAAAGAATTTCATTTGATAAGGAACTGCAGAGGATTCGTGAATGTTCTGCATTCGTAGAATTTGAGACAAGCTAAAAAAAGATCACAGCTACTTGACTGCTCAGCTGTGCATTTTTACGAAATACATGTAGCGTAAAGTGCAACATGAAATCTAGCTACATAGCATTGTGATAAGGAAAAAATCCCAAAGAACAAGTGTTCTAATCAATAAATGTCTATAAAACATACGTTGCGTGATTTGTTTTCTTGACGATGCGGCTGCAAGTATCATACGCGAAGGCTAAACTTATAGACCATAGAGTCAGTCAGCTCTGATGTGATACGTTTGTGATGATGGCGATGTAGGCGAAACATTACGTTTGACAGAAAAAAAGGTTTGGTGTTATTTACTGAACAGTTTATTATTTACTTACAACACCACTCTCAGAATGTGCAAATTTCGAGTGAATGTCGCAGAATTCCGGGGTCGGTAGTAATCCGGTCGAAACTCCGAGTTTGAAGCTCCGCGTTAACTCAGGGATAACTCTGAGTTCCGTTTTTGAAACTCTGAGTTACGCTTATTGAAACTCTGAGTTCCGCTTTCGTAATTCCGAATTCACTCTCAAGCTCGGAGTTTTGCTTTGAGGAGCTGTTAAGCACTTTGCTGCAAAAGCGACGTTAAAGTAGGGACTCGAACCTGTATGGTCTAGCGTAAAGATCCTACCACTAAACCGCTAGACCATGACACACCCAAGAACCCTAAAATTGCTTTGCCATAATGTACTCACTCATTCCATTAACATTTAGCAGGTCAAAACAAGTTATACCAAAGCCTCACTCATTTCCATTTCTATCGGGCAGTGATGGTTCATCACGAGGATTGGTCTTTTGCGCAGCTGAAAGATTCAAACAATAGAGGAAGCGGATGGCATACGCAATGATAAGAATTGACTATTAGGATTTGCGCACAGAATAAATCCTCCCGGCAAAGTTTGCCCTTCCATGCCCTTCGTCTTACTTACCGTATACCTACCGTAACCGTTCCATATGTCACCACTGTATGTAGCAGATAGATTCTCCGTAATCTGCATCCCGAATAACTTCAGTGTACCGAATTTCGGCTAATTCCGCCGCTTCAAATCATCTACCGTAAACCTACCGTAACCTCGTCAGGTGACACCACTGTATAATTTGCATGTCATATTCGTTATCGGCGCCCCGAATAACCCCAGTGTACCAAGTTTCGATCAGTTTCGTGATTTTCTCCTATCTACCGTAAACCTACCGTAACCCTGTCAGATGACACCACAGTATAATCTGCATGTCATATTCGTTATCGGCGCCCCGAATAACCCCAGTGTACCAAGTTTCGATCAGTTTCGTGATTCTCTCCCATCTACCGTAAACCTACCGTAACACCTCTACATGACCCCATAGTGAAAAATGGGTACCATATGCGTGACCAGCGCACCGAATAACCCCCTGGGCCAAGTTTTTACAAAATTTCAAAATTTTGTAAATCACTGCGCACCACGATACCCCCATGCCTGCTTAAACTACGAGCAAAATGTACCCCGGAGGACTTTTTAGCTGCCCCTCTTCTTTCGCACACTATTTCTCTTTCTCTGACCAAACTCAGAGTTATCTCCGAGTTCCACAATAGACTGGAACGCGCATCAAACTCAAAGTTATCGCAGACACTAGTTGCGCGTTTGGTGGCGCTGTTTCTTGTGCAGGACGACTTGGACAATGTTGCGCTACTAGAAATAAACTACATATTAAGGAGAGTCCTGCCATATCATCTTCCGGATTTGATCTGTTCAAACACCTGTTAAAGGGGTCAAAAAGTTGCGCGTTAGCTCAGAGATAACTCAGAGTTAACTCTGAGTTATAACTCTGAGTTTCGATAGGTTTACTACCGACCCGGAAGATTCGCGAAAGTCCACGACATTCCTGGAATTCCGCATTCACGGAAATTTTGTACATTCTGAGCGTGGTATTGTATTTTATTTACTATTACCATAGCAGCAGAAGACTTTCCTTCGAAATCACAGACACTGAATTAATTTCGCAGCTCGCATATCAAGATGTTTCCGTTGGCTAATGATAAGCCTCCTAATTTGATTGCAAAGTGATTAGAGAATGTGCGTCTTGGAATTCTTACAAGGGAAGGATACCAACATTAGTCGGAGATTGAAAATGAGATGTATATCAGTAGACGCGCCTTTGAACGCTGATTCCAAATCTGCTTTCCTTTTTTTGCGGAATAGGTTTCCGAATGAGGTTGTGGGCGTTCGAATGTCCAAATTTTTCGAGGTTTAGGTGGCTTAAAATTGGCGAAAAGCTGTACAAAAACACCAAAAAGGAGAAAATCGTTTTTGTATCGAGTATATTGTTTGCAAGGAAGGAACAAAGCCGGTGGAAATGGCATAGGTGTTGTTTTAGAGCTTTTAGCTGATTTTAAGCCACTCAATGCTTGGCAAATCTGGACATTCAAACCCGCGTAACTTCTTTCGGAAATTTATTCCGCAAAAAAGGAAAGCAGATTTGAAATCAGCGTTCAAAGGGCGCATCTAACGACATACATCTCATCTTCAATTGCCAGCTAATGTTGGTATCCTTTCCTTGTTAGATGGCATAATAAACCACAAAGTTTTCCAGTTCCTTTACAAATTGACAAAAAGGATTATCTATTGAGAAAAATGTTTGCGACCTTTCCCAAGACTTTCATGTCATGATTGGCACCAAGAACGATAAGTCCTCTCAGTCAAGAAATCTCTCTCATATTCGTCCACAATAAAAAAGTTAAATGTCTAAGTAGGTAGAAACTGCTCCTGATACATACTGTCAAGCAGTGTCCGGGCAAAAAGTTGATTTTGTGATTTTGTGCTTATTCGGACCTATTCGCTATATCCAAAACCACACTAGAGAGCACGAAAACGGCGAAAAAAACGCTCTAACGCGGGAGGGTAAGCAGGTGGACGGGGTCATCCCCATTGTGTATTCGCACTCCCAGCTTCTGGAGCGATCTTCTCGATCCCGCTAGCCGGCCTGATATCTACACCGGCCAGGTGGAAAAGGGTGACTTGAAATCGGAAGCAAGAAGATTGCTCCAGAAGCTGAGAACGTGAATCCACAGTGGGGAGGACCCCGCTCACCTGCTATTTTCCTTCTGCTTTAGAGACCTTTTTCGCCATTTTCGCGCTCTCCAATATGCATTTTTGGATCCAGCATAGCGAATAGGCCTGGGTAAGCACAATAACTCAAAATTGACTTTTTCACCGGACACTGCCTTTAAAGCATTCGGCACTGGGTGACACGTAGCCAATTACAATGCTTGCATCGTGCTTGGGGTTTGCTAATTCACTGTTTGAACCTAAAGACTGTGAATTAACCCGGAAACACCGCTATGCTCGATTTTTGAGCTCGCAAACATACCGAATTCGTCAATAGACTCTTTGTGTGTTCCGAAACCCACTGGGTAATCTCAATTCATGGGTCTCCAAACCAACTATTGAATGATAATCGCGTGTAAAGCTTCCGAATGGGTTCCGGAACCCACCGGGTTCGTTGATGATTAGTCACAGAGGGACCTGCGCGATTCCGGAGCAAAGCATAAGTGGGGCGGTGGTGTTAATCGCTAACGCTGTAACAGATCAAGACAGCATACACACTTTGCTTTAATAGGATACAGGCCGAAGCATTTCGTATACTGCGGCGCCTCTGCTTTTCTAGAACGTGCGAGGGACACAACGCTAGCGTCTTTTTAAGCAGAAATTGAAGTACGCAGTCATGGGTCTAACACGATCTACCACAGTGAAGATAGTACAGTCTCATACGTCCATCTCACAGCGGCGCGGACTATGTGAGATGGACGCCCCCAGTCGTTTCAACCTGACCTTGGTTAAAACATACTACATTTCCTGCCTCATTGGCAGTGATAGCCCCTGTTCCACGCTCTTGGGCTTTGTCCTTTTCGCGAATGCGCCCTCTAATCATTCCTCCAAGCTTGATTAGCGATTGAAGCTTGGCCCTCATGCTGAAGTGTGAAAAAATGATAAGAGAGCATGCTCACGAGAAAGGTGCAGAACGCAAGCAAGGCGGTCGGGGGAACCCGACCCGCGCGACCCCAACTCCCATCACTCCTAAAGGCAGCGTCCCACCAGACTAGGGGTGCCTGGCTCTGGTAGTGATGTAATAGCAGACCCCCTAACTAAGCGACGACAGAACTTTGCAGCGCGAAAGGGGGTCTATAAAGTCTATAAATCCTCCCCCTCCCTTAAGTGGCCCGGATCTCGGTAGGCTCGGGCAAGTATGAGATGCATGCAGATTAGGAACGCAGAGTCGTTGCGGACTCTGCCTTCACGACTGTACACTTTGATTCAACTGGCTTGGCCCCTGGAAGGTAGGACTTTGTGACCTAATTGAGGCCGCTCGCGCCCGCGACGAGTCTGCGTCTTTCTCGCGCACTTGCTCTCTGTTCATTATCTCGCCTTTCAGAAGCCAAGCCAGTTGAATCATAGGTATGTGCTATGCGTGCTCTGGCCGTGCAGTTCGAAATCGGTGTGGGCGTCCGAGGCTACCGTAAGATCGGGCCACTTTCGGAGCAAATTTCGGGCTTGGTAGACCCTCTTATTCGCTCCAAACTTCAGTCATTGCTTGAGTAGGGGGTCTATTTCCGCATTGCCACGAAAACCCGGCACCTATCTTTTTGCCGTTACGTTGTCATTAGTGGGACGGAGATTACACATCTCTGATTTTCTTTTGCAGCCTTGCTTTTGTAAAAGTAATATATTCGAAAAGCGCATGTCAAACTTTACATTTTTTGGATGCAGAAAACCAGGTCTCAAGTAGTTTACATTGAACTGTGCATGCAGCACTTGTTGAAATAGCAACCAATCGCTTCAGATGGCAGATTCCAATGTGAATAACAGTTTGCATTTGAAGACATTTTAGAATTTTTTGTTCAATTTTACATTCTTATGTGTCCTAGAGGGAGATCCAAATTCTTTCCATCTGACTGTTCAGCAGCCCATTCGTAGAACTCCTTCAAATTGAAACGAAGAAAACATAATAGCTTCTTTCCTTCTTTATCCTTCGCAGAGCCACATCCAATTTTAGTGTAGAAACTATTCTGAAAAAACTATCATGTTGGTAGATCTACTGGTAGTTTTGCATCTCACTGTCAAGACGTGTTTGGCTTCAGTAATTAGCAGGACCTGGCACGAGGGGACAAATGTCGGGGTGGAAATTGTTGCGGGTTAGAAAAGCGAAGCGGATACCGTTTTTGTTAGGTTTGAGTAGAGTCTCGGAAAATTTGGTAGTAAATGCTTTCTGCCTCTCCTAACACGTTGACGAGAACGCGCATTTTTAGTTGTCTGCCTTGCGAGGCAATGCCTTTCACGAATAAGTCGAGAAATTCTAGCTAAAATCACGCAGATTGTCATCTGAACTATACCTTTCCACATGTTTGTATGTGAAAAATGTGTAGGTTGCCCTGTTTAGGTTTTTTCAATGCTTGTTACAAGTTTTTTTTTTCATTAAAATACTTTACCTCTTGATAAAGTGTTAGGCACCGCAGACTTTGCTCAAAAGCGCTCAAGAGCACCCAAATCTCCTTGTTTTTCTCCACATTTTCCTCGAACACGTTCCGCTTGCTGTCAGTCGTGCTGGCGCTTTTAGGCTAGACGTGTGAGGTGGGAAAATTGAGTGAAGAAAACCGTTTTGAGCAAAGTCTGGTCAGTGCCTTTGTTGCATAAGTACCAGGTCCCGTTTTTGGGCTTGAAGGGGTATTCTTTTAAAAACTTTTGGGGTCAAAGGCGAATTCGCTATGGAAAACCCGATTGCTCACCTCGTGCCGGGCCCCGGTCATGGTTAGAATGAATGTCGCTTTGTGGCACTTTGGTCTTGACGTGCGTGAAGTGGGGCATGTGTAAAACTTTTGCAGAGTACCTTTATACCTTTAATTACCAAAAACGTCAGCTTATGACCAGCAACTACGCTGACAGTGGGAACGGTATAAGTGAAGTTGTAGGAGTTCCACATGCTTGTTTTTGGAAGAGGAATACAACACAGCCTATCCGAACCTATCCTAACGCTCCGAAGGTTTCGCTTATCGAAAATAAAGTTGGAGACTGTGTGTAACGAACGACCTAAATGCCAACATGTCGTTGCTATTTTTGGAGAGGTGGTTACATTAGTCTTGAGTGGCTTAATCTGATGTGTGCTTAGTTTGATAATATATTATTAACAAGCCGTCTCTCAAAAAATAAGAAGATCTTGGTCCAGATTGCCTTGATCTTCTCCTCCCCCCTCCTAGCTCCTTTTCAAATTTGCCCTTACTTTCAAGGACTTCCTCAGCGAAAATGTCTCTTGTTCCTTTCAGGAAGACTTAACAAAGTGCCCACCAGTTCTGATTGTTTCTCTTTTTCAAACTATGTGTTTCACAATTTTTACTTTCGAATACTGCATGAGCAACCATCATTCTCCAAACTCTTTCATCAGCTTCCTGAAACTGACTCCCTCAATATTAGAAAACTACAGAAAAGTTTCCCTGGCCTCTCTGACTTTCTTCAAGAATGTTCTAATTAATCTTTTTCACTCTCGGAAAAGCTTCAGTTCAACATCGAAATCTTGTGAATTATTTTGCCTACTATTTAGCTGTCAGCAGTAAGTTATCGTAAGATTTTAACGGCCGGTTCTCTCGGCATTCGCAATTTATGATTTCCTCAAGCGATTGCCTGTACAGTTTGTTCTAGTCCGAATTAGGGAAAAATTGGTGTTGCACATATGTAACGTGACGTTTACGACTTGCTTTTCAAAGATTGTATTATTATAGCTCAGGACTCATATCCACGAAAGTCCATAATGGAGGAAAATGGACTTACTTAGTCCATTTTATTCGTTCGCGTTAGAAGGTGGTCGAAATCGGCTCCCGCTTACGATATCCAAAAATTTTCATCCCATCGCAACCACGAGGCAAAGCGGTGAAATGAAAATGATTTAACCCTACCTGAGCTCTCGCTTGCGAAATGATGACGTCAAAAGTCCATTTAGAATGGGGCAAAATGGGATTTACCTCCATTTTAAATAGACTTGAAAGCCCATTTTACTCCCAGCAGCAAGGTGAGCTGGGACTAAGCCCATTTTTGACCTTTTTGCATATTTTTGATTGCGATTTTTTGGGAATGTGTTCCTCATCCTATCCTAAGGTAATAGGTGAGTGGAAAAAGTTTCATGTCTTTTAGGATAAAATAAAGGATAAAGGATTCGGCGTCTTCAATACCCTCTGAGGGCATGCGCCGAACGCACACACTAACTTCATGGTCGAAGAGGCAATTGTGTGCGTGCGAGCCTATTACAGTGACTTGCGGGGGCCAGCCGTTTCCAAGTCAGTGCTTTTATCCTCCCAGATTACTCTGGTACCAATTTACCGGCCCCGAAGGGTAGAGGGCTTGGTTGGCCCAGGGGCGGGGATCGAACCCTGTCCGATCTGGTCATAGCGGCGCCTCATACCACTACGCCACTCGTCCCGTCATGTCTTTTATGAAGTCTGAAATAAGTGTTTCTTTCTAAACTCATAGAAACGCTATAAAAACATAGTAAAAGATCAAATTTACTCAAATATTCGCTAATAAACCCAAATGCTTCTTAATATCAGGTCAATCAGAAAATTCTTATGTAAAACAAATAAAGTTTGTTAACTCTTCAAATCATCAACCAAAACCAAATTCATGATTTGCAATCCAAAATTTGAAAAAAATTGTGCTTCAATGTGATTACTTAGAAGCTATCTTTGGCTAATTTCGTAGAACCGAACCTCAGAGACGGCATTTCAAACACAATTTTGAGTTTGGTTCGCAAGAATTACTGAAGTGCCGCTGTGCCGCTAGCTAGCTAGAGAAATTCCGTGAAGAATTTCTTACTAGATTAGTTCATACATTCAACTCGCTGAAAGACAAAGAAAAGCTAATATAGACCGCTTGCGAAGTCATCTTTTGGGATTCAAAGTTTTTGCGACTTGAAAAACCCTCTGAGTTGTAGTGTAGTACAAGGTTTCTTGTAAGGAGCATTTTGGTTCACTGATTGCAGTGCAACTCCAGCCAAAGTTTGCTTTTTGCAGGAATCTCCACATACGAATTCGATTTAATGCTGATTCGTAGAAGTTTTGAAACGGAGGCTCGGATATGACATGAATTTTAGTCTTGGAAGTGATTTAGATGCATAGTCATCGATAATGAATGGCATTCTGTTAGGTGTAACGATGTGGGAAAGAATAGAATAGCCACTTGAGTGACATTGTAATGTTAGGTCAGCCTAGTTAGATATCGACCACTTGGTGGAAATGAGTTTGCAAGAGTGAGCAAACAGGTTGAGACAAGTTGGAGAAAGGTTAGTTGAAGCATTTTTGTATGGAATGAATGTGTTCGCAAATGCGATATCTTATCGCACCGCATGGACTAAGTCCATTTTATTCGCACGAAAAGCCCATTTCGCGGGGACTTTCGTGGATATCATTCCAGGACAAAGGTTTGTGAGCGGCACGAAATTGGCCTATCCACTTTGCTCAGTAATTAATCTAGTCGGGCTTCTCTAATGTGTTGATATGCAAAACGAAAGTGTTTCTTGAATGTAATCCGCTATTGGAAACATCACACGGCTTATTTGCAATTTTTTGATAAAATACTTCCTCCCATCAAAATCTCCAGAAGAAGTTTTTTGAAACATTTTTTTCTTCAATGCGGTAATAATAGTGTCGTTTGGACCGAAAAAATGGTCTACTAAGCCTATAATTTGCTTCGAAAGTGGTCTGGACCTTACGATAGGTCCGAGTGCCACCGCAAAGCGAGTTTGAACTGCAAAGCTAGAGGTCATATACCCTATATACACGGTCTTGACCAATCCCTGTTCCGCTTCTAACTTGGTGGGCTTTGCGTGCTCACGCCCTAATTCAGATCTGGGAGCTTCAGGAAAAGCCCAATTTCGACATGTTCCTTGCACGCTACACATTCGGAATCACCAGGAGGGATAAGGCTTGATAAGAGGAAAATATTCGAATTCAGGTTTCGCCGGGACGGTTCCTCTAAAGGCTTTATGGATTTTCGGTCACAAAATAATCTTCAAAATTTTATCGTTTGCTGGGATATACTTCCTCATGAAAGAGCATCACCAAACAAGACTAAAGAGAATGCAGAATTTTTGAATTCTTACTTCGCTTATTGCCTGATGATGGTCGAAACTTGTTCAACCCACAAAAATTGATTTTTCAAAAAAACTGACTTTCAGAAAGGTTGTAATATCTTGAAATTGAAAATTGCAACGACAGAACTTATGCAGCAACCAGTACACGGTATTTGATCCTTATAAACATTGCTTACCAGTAGCTGTGAAATGAATGTCGCAAGCTAGGGGCGGGGCCAATAAAGAAACTTGCGAAAGTTTCCGCACGCGGCGAGAGGATAGATCAATTACTCATTTAATCAGGGAAGAATCCCAGGTTCCTTTGTTGTTCCGGGATAAATTATTATTTTCAAAGGCGCCTCGATAAACTAGTTTTGCTACCCTTCCATCTGTTACACAGTTTTCTAAAAGAAGTTGTGGGAGCCTAGAAGTTCAGAATTGCCACAAAGCCAATATGAGATCACAAAACGATAAAAGTACATATTCTCTTGGTGGCTTCAGTACGAATTTGCTGAACACTAAAGGACGCCTGCAAAAAATCCAGCGTACTTTCGGACCCTTTAGAATGCTGTGTTTAGTGGTATTCGCCACTCTACGAATTGTCACAGAGAATTCGTTCCTACGCTAGAATGGATAGTCTCACCTTTAACTCCTCTTTCTTGTTTTCGGTAATGGTTAAGCCGCTCAAATTCCAGTTTTTCGTCCCAGGTGGTTCCTCTCTAAAAGTATCTGTAGCTGTTTGTAAATAAAAATTTTTTTATTCACCTTGGCATCGAGAAGACGATATAGTCAAATAACCCGTCCGATTTGTTTTTCATCTCCATGACTTTTTCTTCCCAATTAGCAAACTTTCTTCCCACTGTTCTAGCTCTGCATCCGAGAGACTTCCTATAGCTCTAAATGAACAAAATCAGGTTGCATGCGTAGGTAGATAATTTCTATATCGGTATTTGCAACTAGTAAAATCTTGAGCTAAAATTTCATAGAACTGACCGGTGCATATCGTGGAAACAGTCCTGGTAGCTTTTCCTTCAGCTGAGTTCTGAGGCTGGCGCGAAGGCCACTACAATCCTTAGCATCATCATCACCGCAAACATACGCAAGATCTGGTAGGATCTGTAATCAAGAAGTCGTTGCCTTATGTGAAGTGAAGACAGTGTCCTACCGCAAAAACTATCCAGTGCCACATTCGGAGTGCCCGCGGCATCTACTGGAAATTGTTGTAGCGATTTATACTTTATGAATCTCTCGAAACAATAGCACATTTAGATTCCATTCAGTGCCTATCAACTTTTATCTGATTGGTCACATCAAATTTATCCACTTGGACTCTCATTACGAGTAATCGCTCTCAATATCCAGTAAAACATACTTTAATGGAGTCGTAATGAAATGTTGACAATATCGGCAAAATGTCATATGACATGTGAAAGCTTTGGTGAACTGCAGGGTTAGAAAAAAGTAAGAGAACATTTGTAGCGCTATAGGTGAAGTAATGCTATTCACGTATGTTGATGATTTGGAGAAAGAGGACTGCCTCCTTGAACCATCAATATTACGCGTGTGAAACTTTAAATACCGAATTTAAACCAATTTTGGATTGGTCAGATAAAGGATAACCAAAAATTCTATAGGCACAGTCAAACTATGAGCATCTGAATATTATTGGATGCAATCGTTCCTTTTTCTACAAATGTTATCAGCCCAAAAAAACTACTAGCCTTTATAGTCAAAGGTCAAAACACCGATCAAAAGGGAAACCACCATTGCATACTCTCGCAAATGTAACCCGAGTTCACCACATTGCTCCTCATCAGGTGTGATAATCGGATTATCTTATACCTTACTCAGTGGAAGCATACATAGGGTCGTTTCATTTCTGTATACCATCTTGATAAATCTCTTCTCTCTACACAGTTTTTTCTGCTAGATGTTTCAAATTTGGGCAGTAGTGATATTCAGGGACACGATATTTATTTTTATGCTCAAGGAGTAACCCCTTTTTGCTTTGATACATCAACTAATTCTGGAAGTATATTTGTATGATAGAGAAAATTATGCTCTTTACTGTAGTGCCTTTACCATAAATTGGAACGAAAAAGATCGCGAGTTAGAAGCAAATAAAGAAAATTACTTCAGTTTTGCAATTTTTGAGCACGCTCAAAAAAGCTTGAAAACGTCACAGAATAGGCGAAAAAGTCATAAACATGGGTTTTGTGACTATCTCTTTCCAGCTGAGTGAAAATCTTGGCAATCGGGAGCAATTTTCGTTTTCGTGAAAAACGCAGACCCAAAAATCCGAATAAATCATGAAAATGAAAATTGCTTCCGATTGGCACGATTTTTGTTCAGCTAGAAAGGGAAGGTCATAAAACCCATGTTACGACTTTTTCGCCTTTTCTGTGACGTTATCAAGCTTTTTTGTACATGCTCAAAAATTGCAAAAGTGAAGAAATTCTCTTTATTTGCTGCTAGCTCTCGATCTACTTCGTTTTAATTCATGAAAGAGGTACCACTGTAATGTGCAAAATTTTCTCTATCAAATAAAAATACTTCTAGAAATTTTCATGATCCAGCTTGAAAAATGTCGATCTTGACTAGCTTCCTTCAATTGCTTTTAACACTCGAACTTACTAGGCTAATTCATGGCAAAGACAGCTATAAAGAAAAAGGATTCCTCTTTCATACAAAAATAAATTTGGGAAAAATTGTTGAGAAGAAAGGAAGTTGTGATTTTTTGAATATCCGGCGAAAGAACTTTTGCACCCACCTAATAAGGTGAGTGCAAAAGTCCTGTCGTTTCATTTGCAAAAATTTGTAATTTCGCCAGATTTCAACGGATTTGCTTGCCTGTAATTTTATTAGAAAGAATAGGTCTTCCGCTTTCAAGCGCTTTTTTGTGGAGCTTCTGTTTCACACTGAGTGCCGAGATAAAAATAAAAAACTAAGACCATGTAAACTTTGACCATTTTAAGTTAGGTCACTAAAAATCTGGAATGCTGCAGAAAAATCTAAAATCGTCAGTACATATGTTTTTTGGCCTACTCTTTGCAATTGTGAAGAGTTTGTGCTGTTTGGACGTCTCTGTGAGAAGTTATGATTTTCGCGAAAATAAACAAATTAATTGATTTTGGCGTTTTCCATGGTAAACTCGATATTCATAACATCTCACGGAGACGTTCAAACAGCACAAATTTTTCACAGATGCAAAGTGTAGGCCAAAAAACATATGTACGGAAGATTTCAGATTTTTCTGCAGCGTTCCCGATTTTTGATGACCTAACTTAAAATGGTCAAAGTTGACATGGTCTTAGTTTTTTATTTTTATCTCGGCACTCAGTGTGAAACAGAAGCTCCACAAAAAAGCGCTTGAAAGCGGAAGACCTATTCTTTCTAATAAAATTACAGGCAAGCAAATCCGTTGAAATCTGGCGAATTTACAAATTTTTGAAAATGAAACGACAGAACTTTTGCACCCACCTAATATATATATATTAGGTCGTTCCGAAAGTTCTTTCCGTTTTTTCAACATATCATAAAAACACGTGGAATAAAGGCAGGAAAACGCTTCAGGCACTATCTGACGCAGCTTTTCTTCCTCTTTTCAATGTCATACTACTGTACCGCTTACTATAGTGGTCAGTGAGATAATGGCCGAAATTTCGAACCCATGGTTTTTACCATGTCCAGCTTTGGCAATTTTTCACTATCTTCTTTTTTGACTTTTGGAAAGGCTTTGATAGCAGTCGGATAAAGTAAACAAAGTGCAATCTTATGCAATTTTTCGGCACCTATAGCTAGCCTCAAAACATTTTTAGAATTATTTTTCTGATGCTATCAAATTCCACTTTTGGGGATGCCAAAAGCCACAGAACATAAAACGGCGCACAACTAAGGTGTCGTTCGATGCAGCTTTTTCTCCCCTTTCTAATGAGTACTTTCTCTTATTAGTTTGTGGGGTCTTAAGCGATAAAATTTCTATAAATCTTGATTTTGAACCCGCCTCATGATGTATCCGTGCAATGCAAAATCTTATATTTCGAAGCGGTAAACGCTCAGTTACTTTGCAAAAATAGTGTACAATCATAAACGACTTTTGTAAGTTTCGAAAATCGAAGATTTGTTGATGTTCAGAGCGTTGGTGTGTTTTGTGACCTCGAAAAAGTGAAGACTTCTGAAAAATTTATCTAAAAAAATGATGAGAAGCCGGCTGAAATTGCCAAAAAATTGCATTGCATTGCACTTTGTTCACTCTATCTGACTGCTATCAAAGCTTCTCCAAAAGTTGAGAAAGAAGATAGTGAAAAATTGCCAAATTTGAACATGGTAAAAACCATAGGTCCGAAATTTCGGCCAATATCTCACTGACCACAATAGCAAGCGGTACAGTGGTATGACAGTTGAAAAGAGGAAGAAAAGCTGCGTCGGATAGTGCCTGAAATGTTTCCCTACCTTTATTCCACGTGTTTTTATGATATGTTGAAAAAACGGAAAGAACTTTTGGAACGACCCAATATATATATTAGGTTGAACCGAAAGTTCGTTCGCACCATTTTCAAAAAATCATAACTTCTTTTCTTCACGACGATTTTGCGCATTTCATGTTTTATTAGAATGCGTAAAGCATGTAGTTTCCAATAGTCCCCTGGCGACTTTCCAGCATGTTCAGATTGCAGAGATAAAAATGAAAGAACGAAAACATCCGAAATTCGGAATTTCTGAGAAACGATTCCAAAAATCTAGAAACTGCGCGATAAAATCCAAAAAAGCCATTATTCTAATTTTTCTTATATTTGATTACTGACTGAGTTAAGTTTGTGCTGATCGAGCTCTTCTTTCAAAAGTTATGATTTTTTGAAAAGAAATGCCGAAAAATCAATTTCTTAAGAATTCTTAAAAAAGTGATTTTTCGGAATTTTTTTCAAAAAATCATAACTTTTGAAAGAAGAGCTCGATCAGCACAAACTTAATTCAGTCAGTAATCAAATACAAGAAAAATTAGGATAATGGCTTTTCTGGATTTTATCGCGCAGTTTCTAGATTTTTAGAATCGTTTCTCAAAAATTCCGAATTTCGGATGTTTTCGTTCTTTCATTTTTATCTCTGCAATCTGAACATGCTGGAAAGTCGCCAGGGGACTATTGGAAACTACATGCTATACGCTTTCTAATAAAACTTGAAATGCGCAAAACCGTCGTGAAGGAAAGAAGTTATGATTTTTTGAAAATGGTGCGAACGAACTTTCGGTTCAACCTAATATATACAGGGTGTCCGTAAAAAATGTGCCTACTGTTTGATTGTGAATAACTCTCTTCTAACGGAGTCTTTCGAGAAGCTTTAGGTACCATTTTGTAGAGCGAGGTTCAACTTAGATTTGCAGTATAGAGCGAATCACCGAGCTCTTTTTATTACTGTAGGATTACGGTAGGAACTTCGACAAGGATTTTAGGTTTTTGGAGGCCATAATCTGCCTCGGAACATAACCAAACAAGCCGGAAATTCTTACACTATGGTAATGGAAGCCGCTCTTTTCGAATATGAAATTTCCACTTTACTGTGGCGCCTCTTTCCTAAGTTACCTCAGGTGAACCGTAATAATTGAATTTCCAGCATTTTTCAGAAATGTGATTACACCGTCAAAAAAGCTGAAAACACCCGTAAAAAGTTGTGTAGTGGAATCAGCGTGCGCGAAAACCCTAGTACACGATTTTTCAGATTTTTTGAAAAAAATTTTGTCAGGCGGCATATTTCACGATTGTTCCATATGCTGAAAGTTCCTACCGTATTCCTACAGTAATAAAACGAGCTCGGTGATTCGCTCTATACTGCAAATCTAAGTTGAACCTCGCTCTACAAAATGGTGCTTAAAGCTTCTCGAAAGACTTCGTTAGAAGAGAGTTATTCACAATCAAACAGTAGGCACATTTTTTACGGACACCCTATATATATATATATATATATATTAGGTCATTTCAAAAGTTCGTTCGCATTGCTCTCTAAAAAATCGTGACTCCCTGCTATCTGCCTAGATTTGCCTGATATAATTTTTTCTAGAATGAAGAGATCATGTAGTTTCTGATAGTGGCTTAAATTCGTTCTACCAAGCACAAGTGGCAGAGTTAAAAATGCGAAAAGAGGACCACTCAACTTTTGGTAATTTTAGAAAAGCTCACCAAAAATCTTAGAACGTTACAAAAAATACCGAAC